GAAGACTGACAGCCTTGGAGACCCTGTGGGCAGTTCCACTCTGTCCTCTAGGGGCGCTGTGGGTCAGAATGGACTCCATGGCAGTGGGTGTGGTTTGGGCTTTGCTTCTGTGAAGATTGACAGCCTTGGAGACCCTGTGGGGCAGTTCCACTCTGTCCTCTAGGGGCGCTTTGGGTCAGAATGGACTCCAGGCAGTGGGTGTGGTTTGGGCTTTGCTTCTGTGAAGACTGACAGCCTTGCAGACCCTGTGGGGCAGTTCCACTCTGTCCTCTAGGGGCGCTGTGGGTCAGAATCGACTCCAGGGCAGTGGGTGTGGTTTGGACTTCGCTTCTGTGAAGACTAACAGCCTTGGAGACACTTTGGTGCAGTTCCACTCTGTTCTCTAGGGGTGCTGTGAGTCAGAATCGACTCAATGGTCAGTGTGTGGTTTGAGCTTTGCTTCTAGTGGGTGTGGTTTGGGCTTTGCTTCCGTGAAGATTGACAGCCTTGTAGACCCTGTGGTGCAGTTCCACTGTGTCCTCTAGGGGCGCTGTGGGTCTGAATAGACTCCACGGTAGTGGGTGGAGTTTGGGCTTTGCTTCTGTGAAGATTGACAGCCTTGGAGACCCTGTGGTGCAGTTCCACTCTGTCCTCTAGGGGCGCTGTGAGTCAGAATGGACTCCAGGCAGTGGGTGTGGTTTGGGCTTTGCTTCTGTAAAGATTGACAGCCTTGGGAGTCCTATGGAGGTCACTGTAAGTCCGAATGGACTGTATGGCAGTGGGTTTGGTTTAGTGGGTTGATTCCTGACACCACCCCCACAGTCAAGACCCCAGGACAGTTTGATCACAAGTCTCCTCGGAACCTCTCTTTTATAAGCACAGCCTTCTGTCTTCCAATCCTGCAAAGCATGTATCTGGACTCCATTTGTGTAGTGTTCACATTTTACGAAGCAACTGCCAGTCTTTGCAGATCAAATATAATCCAATAGTTGCAGGTTCCAGTGGTCTGACTGAACCTGTGTGGACAGTACGAACGAAGGATGGAAAGGTTTCATGAGCCGTTGCAGTCACAGTGTCTGGTTGAAGACTGGGCTTCAGGGAAGCATTTGTAAATAACAAGTACAGGAGCATCTTTCCCAGTCACAGGAAGGCACTAGACCACACCCACAGATCTAGTGTCATCTGTGGGGACTGAATAAGTAAAAACCTATCCATACCAAACCCACTGCCATTGAATCAGTTCTAACTGACAGGACCCCCCTTGGATTTCTGACTCAGTAAATCTTTACAGAAGTCGATTGCACCATCTTCACTCTGCACAGCAGCTGGTGGGTTTGAACCACTGATCTTCTGGTTATCAGTCAGATGCCTTACGCACTGTGCCACCCGAACTATTGGCCTTTGCTGTTCTTTGCAAGACTCCTGAGACCATTGACGGTGAAAGGACAGAATGTCCCTTTTCTTTACCTGACTTGTGTTGGTGAAGGACACTGAATGCACCGTGGATGGGCAGAAGAACAATCAGATCTGTCTTGGAAGAAGTCGGCCAGAGTGATCTCAGAAGGGCAGATGCCAAGACTTCGACTCACGTACGTTGGACATGTTATCAGGAAGGACCAGGCTCTGGAGAAGGACATCATGCTCAGTGAGAGAGAGGGTCACCAGAGAAGAGTGAAACACTCAGCAGGATGGATCGGCACCGCGGCTGCAACAATGGGGTCAAACACGCAACAACTGCGGGGATGATGGTGCCTTGAGGACTAAGGTGAGACTGACACGAGCCGCGGTATTTTCAGTCGCCTCGTATGCATGTGAGAGCTGGACAGTGAATAAGGAAGACCGAAGAAGAGTTGATGCTTTGGAGTTGTGGCGCTGGTAAAGAATGCTAAAAGTATCATGGACTGCGAAAAGAACTGTCCTGGAGGAAGTGCAGCCGGAAGGCTCCTTGGAAGCGAGAATGGCCAGACTTGGTCTCACCGACTTTGGTCCTGTTGTCAGAACGGACCATTCCCTGGAGAAGGATGTC